TAGAAGAAGATTCGATGGAAAATACATAAAACCTAACTATTATTCAAGTCTTTCAGCATACCAGTCGCCCTATGACAATGGGGATTACTTTCCAACTATAGCCTAAGAGAAAAGTGCGATTTTTCTTTGCTACATGACAAAATTAAGGACTATTAATTAAGTAAGATTTCAGACTGATTTTTTTTAAATTTGGTTTTGGGTCAAATATTGTATTTATAAATAAAATTTTTGAAAATTGTAGGATTTTCTATTATTTACCTTTTATTATCCATTACATTTTATATAAATATTTTGATCTAGAAAATTAAAAAAAACTTTGAAGATCTGTCTGAACAATTTTTTTTTATATTTTTCTTAAAAGTACATTAAAAACAAAAAAATTGAAAATAAAACGTAACGATAAGTTATTATAGATATTTAAAAAATTATTAGCCATTTTTTTTTTAAATGTATAACCTTTTTTTGGTTGGGTAAAAAAATTGATAAAATTGTTGAAAATGTTTTTGAGGGTAAAAGATAAAAGAGTTTCAGCCAAATCTAAAGGGGTTGGGGTCAAAAGTGGGTATGGATTCAGTAATAAGTACACTGATAAAATTTTGTATTTACAGTACCCAGCTAGCATTTATGATTTCATATTGACGTCAGAATACAATCAGACGTGAAAATCGTTCGTCACGTCTGTCGAGAATCTGACGTCAGTAGCGCATACGCGAATGTCAGCAATATGAAGTCAGACTGAAATCAGGTGTGATTTTTGTTACTGCTGACGTTGGCTTTGAAATCATACTGATGTCAGAATGAAATCAGATGTGATTTTGTAAAGAGACCGGTAGAAACCGGTAGAAAGAAAACTTTAAAGAATAAGTAAAATCAGTCGAGATTTTTGGTCCCGCTGACGTTGGCTTTGAAATCATACTGTTGTCAGAATGAAATCATACTGTTGTCAGAATAAAATCATATGTGATTTTGTAAAATGAACAGGTAAAAAAAAACAGTTAAAAAAAAATATTATTTATTAAACTTTTAAAGAAAATATTATTTATTAAACTTAAACTTAGTTGTCCGAGTCCGAGTAATCACAATGACTAGAACTTGATGAAGTCACTTTGGGAAAGAGAGTTTAGTGTAATACCGTTGATAATACCATAATACAATTATAAAATAATAATGCAATTATAAAAAATACTTACAAAATTAATCCACACAAAGAAAAGACTGCACTCTAGATCAGAGTTTCTGGATGTTGCTTACTGGCAATAACTTATTGCTTTTTGACTCGCACCTTAAATACCATTAGATTAGTGTTTATAAACACAGTAGATAATTAACTAACCTGTTCAATAGAAAAAGCTTCTAGCAACTATTGAACTTTCAGCAGATAACTTACTTATTTTAGAGACAACTTTTCACAAAACAGAAGGTCATTTTGTGGGCATGCGCATAATAAACCGGTTCGGCGGCAATCCGTGCACGGTATCTCACAGCGTTGCCAACCTGTCAATTTTATAGCAACTCTACCGATGTTTTCCAACATTAATTATATCGTTGAGGATTCCTTAAATTAAGGACCTTAATGAATGATTTTATTTATCTTTTGACAATTTGGCTTTTATGCATTACTTAAGTTTTTATCTTTAAATAAATAGCGTATTTTTAATAGTTTAATTCTTTTAATAAATATATAAAATAAACCAAGGCTTTATACCTTTGCCATATGACAACATCGTTTAACCCCTTCGGGGTGTTCTATGAAGAGAATGAATTTTGTTTCGATTATTGATTAATCGATTATTGATTAATCGATTATTTTATTAATCAATTATTTACTAATTGATTATTCAATTAGTCGATTATTTGATTAATCGATTAGTGATTATTCGATTATTCGATAAATCGATTATTTGATTTGATTATTCGATTTATAAAATAAAAATTTGGTTCTAAATTAGAAATTCTAATATAACAACTAGGTTAACCTATAGTGATTTTTCAGAAAACGCATTTTTATGATTTATGCTGGGTTTTAAAAAAATCTGATAAAATTTTTAAACTTATATTGCATGCAAGACAATTAATAATTTAATCAATTAATCAGTAATTAATTAAACAAATAATCGATTAATCAAATAATCAATTAATTAAATAATCGATTAATCAATAATCGATTAATTAAATAATCGATTAATCAAATAATCGATAAATTAATAATCGATTAATCAAAAAATCGATTAATCAAATAATCGATTAATAGAAAAAAACGATTATTTTAAATAATCAATAATCGAAGTTAAACATCGTCTACCATGTCATTTATAGTTTGACGTACGTTAAAGTATAAATGATATGGTAGACGATCACAAGTTTAACTTTTGAACGGGAACAGTAAAGACCAACGGCAATTAATACGCCAATAAAATTTGATTGCTGAAAAGTTAATAATTATAATTAATTATACCCAATAAAATTTAAAAATAAATACATTAATTTTTAAATTTTATTGCAATAAAACCATTTGTTTCCTGAAAAAAAAATCCAGTCAAGGAGGAAATCTTAAATTGCTATAAAAAATTAAAATAAAATACCAAAATTTTTTGATTAAAAATTTAGGTATTTACAAAAAAAAAGATTTCTTAAATCTGGCGCAATTTACCTGGCGCCATTCCTCTATGGTTGAGTTAGAACTTAAAATTATACTGAAAATCATATGTGATCTCATACAGACTCCAGTATGAAATCAGGCGTGCTTTGAAACTTAGAATTAATTATACTGAAAATCATATGTGATATCATACAGACTCCAGTATGAAATCAGGCATGCTTTGAAACTTAGAATTATACTGAAAATCATATGTGATCTCATACTGACCTCAGTATGAAATCAGGCGTGCTTTGGAACTTGGAATCATATTGAAAATCATACGTGATCTCATACAGACCCCAGTATGAGAACAAACATGATTTTGAACTAATATTCGCGCCCGATCGAAACTCACGTGAGTTTCGATCGGGCGCGAATATTAGTTCAAAATCATGTTTGTTCTCATACTATATATTATATACCCATAACCATGGTTGTTTATTTGTATTTGTCCCATTGTGTATAGTCCTTCGTAGGGGACTTTAAGCCGGAAGTCCGTTCCTACCCCTTACCCGCACAAGCTATAGCTTGTGCGGGTAAGGGGTATTAACGGACCGCTGGCCTAAAGTCCCCTCGACGATACACAATGGGACAAGCACAAATAAACAACTATACCCTATAGATTACATTACATTACATCTAAACGAGAACTATATATAAGCTATAGCTTATAAGCTTAGATAAAATTAGCTTGTAAGCTTGGAACTTATGGAATAGGTACCCTTAACTGAAAATCATGCCTGATCTCATACTCACCCCAGTATGAAATCAGGCATGATTTGGAACTTAGAATTTATATTGAAAATCATGCGTGATCTCATACCGACTTCAGTATTAAATCATACATGATTTTGAATGACTGAAAATCACATCTGACCTTATACTGACTTCAGTGTGAAATCACAGAGGGAAAACAAAATCACAGATGCTATCTGGGTAGTGGCCATAATTAGAGCAACCACTGTAAAAAAAATCTAACTCCAAAACGTCTTTATTAATCTTTAAGAAATTTTGGATAAAAATACTTCAACTTATATTTCAGTTTACGTGTTTGAGGGTTTTTTGAGAAAATATTTTTAAAGGCCATTTTTTAAATATTAAAAAAACGTTTGAAAAATAACTTTAAGGGAAATTTTTTTTCAAGTAAATAAAAAATATGCTGTTAAAGACCGTATTTTTGTTAGTATTTCCGCTCTTCAAAAAAAGTTAAAATTAAGGTTAATAATAATAATCTTTTGATCCTTATTCAGACGAACAAAATTACAAAGAAAATTTCGAATACATACAAGAAATTTACCCTGACAATCAACCATACGACGAAAATTAATTACAAGAAGAATTTTTAAATGAACCATTTGAACCATGAATCATTTGAAGCCCAAACTGAAAATTAAATTTTTTATACGGAATCTATGAACAACAAAACAATATAGCTAGCATATGACGATAACATAGAAATAAATAAAGTGAACGCAAGTTTTTTAACTCCATATTAAATGGATATTAGCTATTTTCGCGGAGCTAATCCCGAACTAATTCCGGACATCCTAGGCATGCGCTTTTTTTTAAATTTGGCGTTCAAAATGTAAAGTGCGCATGACAAATATTAAAATGCGCATGCCTAGGATGTCCGAACTAGTTCGGGATTAGCACCGCGAAAACACCTATTATAATTTATTTATTAGTTCATATAACACAACTTAACCTTACTTTAAAATATTTTAGAAATATGTCAGAAAATAAGGTTAAGTTAATATTACTTAGAGTCGTTCATGACGGCATAAAATAAATTATGTACTATGAGTTTACAATACGCCATATTAACTCTACTCGAGGTAAGCTTCATGAACGCCCCCCAGAAGCAATTCCTGAGCACGGACTGATGCAACAGCTTTAAACTTTGTCTACAATTGAAGACTTTCTCATGAAGTTAGGGCACCACCTAAACTATGTACAACTTGTCAGTACTTTTGTTTGGTTAAATGTGCGCTCAAATAAAACTTCAAATGAAGAATGTTGAGCTCTGCAGTATTTATTTTTAGTAAATCCACATCAAAATGTTTATTTAAAATTTAAAAAAGGCTCTACAAACCATAGTGTTTCGGTTCAACGTATTACTCTCGTCTCTTATGGCATACTACCAAATACACAATGTATTAGGGCGATAAATATTTAAATCACGACCGCCACGCGTTATGTCTTTTTTAATTTCCGCAACGCTTTGTGGCTGTTTTCAAAAGTGCAAACTCCACGATTAAGGAATATTCTTTCTTCCACAAGACACAATATACTATTAACTTTTTTATGGTTTTGTAATCTAAAAAATATGTATTTTTGTGCCTTTATATAAAAATAGCCCATTTGCCCAGCAAAATTTTATTAAACATATAATATTAAATCAGAATAGTCGATATTTAAAATAAAAAAATCTTATAAATAGTCAGTTGTATTCAATTTTTAAGAAAACTTTAATACTAAATATATAAAATCTGTTGTTGCTTATTAAAACATTTAATCTTCATTATCAGTGTTGCCTCCATCTTCTTCACCTTCACTGTAAACTTGACCCTCATCTTGTTCTTCTTCATCATCATCACCTGCCACTTCAGCATTTTCAAGTTCAGCACGTTCCATTTGCTTTACTAATTCAGCTTCATCAGTAGCTGTCACCACTTTAGGCTAAAATAAATAAACGTTTATCAAATAATAAAAAAAGTAACTTTAAAACTTACAGCCATCTGAACATTGAAAACTCCTCCTAATTCATTTATCTTTACTTTAATATGTTCAATAGCATCATTTAAAATTTTTAAGCCATCAGATTTTTCAGGCGTGGAAGTAGTCATTACTAAAAAGCACACATTTAGTTCTAGGTCATAAAATATATTTTTTAAATAATACCATAAAGAGGAGGCGCAATTAAATTAATTTTAATGGGTAGTTCTTCTGTTGACAATAAAAGACCAGCTTTTAATGCAGCCTTTACAGCATCAATACCTTCATAACCATAACAGGCACATTCAATATCAGCTCTAATTTTTACTGCTTGAGACGTAAGTTTCCTCTTAATATTACTCAATAATACCTCCTTGGTTTTCTCATCTAAATTACATTCAGTCAAAATGGTAGGATCACTACAACAAAATATATTAATGTTTTTAAAGGCCGATTCAAACCATAGGTCCAGGTGACAATCCCCTTACAATCCACTCAAGGGCGATCAAATATTGTAACATGCTTTTTAAATGGAAATATTCACATTTGGCGCTTTGCTTACGGTACGCTTACGATCTTTCTTCTCGAGGATAATTTGAACGAACTTTTAGCGAATCGTAGCCCCAGTGTGTACAAACAACAATCAGACGAAGTTCGTTTTTCATATTTTTGTATTTACAGGAGCAAGATGAAGGAGCAGTATATTATTTCGAACTAATTTGATTAATATTAATTAAATTAGTTTTACCGAAGAATTATACCACCTGGGTGACAAATTATACTTTGATACGGCGTTGCAAAAAATCTTTATTGGGTTTTTCAAAATAAAATGAACCTACGTTTCTCGTTTTGTTCATCTTACAACAAGGATGTGCTGACGCTTTTCGTATGAGCGCTATTTGAGTGTATAAGTAATACACATTTAATTAAGCTGTGTTATAATGCATGTGTAATATTACGAAACGTCATAAGTATCTTGTTTTTAAAACACATATCCCGTCTGAAATTTTAAATGCGGTTAAATGTTGTTTTTTTATAAACAATCAAGTTTAGAAAGTAACATTTTCTCTGGAAACAGTTAGTTATAATAAAGATAAAGATAAATAAAAGAATATCGTCAAGCTCGGACAGCAGATAGGACCTTAGTTCCAAATCAGTTTTTGATTTCATTAGCGAGTTAAAATTTATATTTATTTCTCATGACACGCGCACTTTATTAATTCATCAATTTAAAATGTCAAAAACCGTTACACATTTAATTAGGCTATGTTATTAATAATAACACAGCCTATAATAATAACTTATTATGCATGTGTAATATTACGAAACGTCATAAGTATCTTGTTTTTAAAACACATATCCCATCTGAAGTTTTAAATGCGGTTAAGTGATGTTTTTTATAAACAAGCAAGTTTAGAAAGAAACATTTTTGAGAAGGTACTATACTTATTTCTCTGGCAACAGTTAGTAATAATAAAGATAAAGATAAATAAAATAATATCGTCAAGCTCGGACAGCAGATAGGACTTAGTTCTAAATCAGTTTTTGATTAGATTAGCAAGTTAAAATTTATATTTATTTTTCATGACACGCGCACTTTATTAATTCATCAATTTAAAATGTCAAAAACCGTTTTTTCGACACGTAGAATCGTTCCGGCGAATGTTATGTAATGTTAGGTTAGGTACCAGAGAACCAAGGTTTGGGAAAGAACTCGACTACTTACTATGTTGGAAAGATCACATCGAGCAAGCATGCCTCAAAGCATCAAAGCGGCTAAATATTTTAAGAAGCTTGTGTGGCACAAAATTGGGCGCGGACCCTAGAACCCTACTTCTTATATAGGCATGCGTAAGACCATTTCTGGACTTTTGCAGCCCTCTCTTCCTTCGAGCTCCCAAGAGCCACACCCAAAAACTATAAAAATTCAATACCAAGCCCTCAGGCTCATAGGTCACGGTGCTGTTCTGAGAGGTAATTTTTGGACTTTCTGTGAAACCTAATTTTTTTTATATTCTTGCTAATTAGGTCATAACTAAAATTTTAAGAGCAAAATAAAAAAAATTTGACGGTTAATTTTGTTTTAATTGGATGTTTATTAAAAATATGTATGCACACTTTCAATTCTCCAATTAAAACTTGCGATTTTATTTAAATATTATCATAACTTTTTAAATCAGATTAAAGATTAGTTAATTTCCTAAAAAAAGGTCTATACATTTTTTATATCTTTTACTGTTTTGTTGTAATACACGTTTAAAGTTTTAATTTAAGGTTAAATGTATAGTATACATTTATTAAACAATAATTCTAAGGATGCCACATTTTATTTAGGGCAGATTTATTCATTTTTGATTTATTTGACGAATAATTTCTTTGGATACTAGATATATCTATATATATATATATCTATATATATATCAATATATTGCCAAGACATGAAAGTTATCGGCCCGAGAAACTTTAGTAAAGATGAATAAACCGGTCCTTAGTTAAATTTCATGAATTTCTTCGTAACTTTTACTACAATTTTTCATTTTTGTTTATAAAAAACACTTTAAAAACTAAACAAAAATTATAGAATACGTATACTGAAAATGACGTCAAATAAATTTTTAATAGATCTAAGTTTCATGGCAACCTTTAAGGATTTATTAATTAAGGGAACATAAATGTATACGTCAAAGGTTAGATTAAAAGTTTGAACGTTTATTGCAACAAAACAGTAAAATATATAAAAAAAATTAAAAACCTTTTTTTTAGTTATGCAAATATTAAATATTTAAATTAAATCGCTAGTTTTAATTGGATAATTGAAAGAGTGCATAATATTTTTAATAAACAGCCAATTAAAACAATTCAAACCGTCAAATTTTTTTTATTTTGCTCTTAAAATTTTAGCTATGACCTAATTAACAAGAATATAAAAAAAATAGGTTTCACAGAAAGTCCAAAAATCACCTCTCAGAACAGCACCGTGAGGTGGATACATGAAAACAACACCTTTGAATATATTACTAGCAGAAACTGGGGAACAACCTCTTTACCTAGGAAGGAAATGCCTGGCTAGCAAGTAGGTATATAGGCGAACTTTTTTCGTATATAATACCACTAGTGGTAAAATTTGTGGCATTAATTTTTAAGAACACGAGTCGCTAGTCGAGTGGTTTTAAATTAATGCTACGAGCGAAATTTCCAAGGAAAAATCTTGAGAAAATAAAAATCAAAAATTGTTTCACATTGTTTATCACGAGTGGTAAAACTATTTCACGAATATTTTTTTTAATTAGAATTAAGTGCCGATTCAATTTCTGTATGATTTTTTTGACCTAAACGAATATTTTTTGACATTTTTATTTTAAAATTAGAAACGTCAACATTGACAATTATTTTTCGACTCGTATAAATGAGTGTTTTTTTGTAGGTAATATCATAAGGGCATCTGATTTTTCCGAAAAAAAAATCGAAAAAACACGTTGCTAAGTAATATTAAAACCACTTTTTGTTAAAAAATATTCTTAGAATTGTGTTTTTTTTTATTTTTTTCACAGGGAAAATTAGATGCCCGAATGGTACTTGACAAGACTATTTCATGAGTAACAGTTATTCTGCATACACATAGCTTACAAAACATACTACCTATTATTATAATACATGCATACATAATAAATATGTAGGTATTAATTTGAAAACTGAAAAATTATTATTTTAAATAGGTAATTTATTTAATCACAAAATACTACAATCTTAATTATTTATGGTAGGTACAATTAAAATATAAATTGCAATTTTGGTGACAACAGCTGTCAAGTTTTGCCGCGGGTAAACTCGAAAAAACTGCTGACAGGTGCTGTCATACAGTTTTTCCACCTAGAAAATATTTGTAATTCAAAATAGCACGTTTGTGATTGGTGGAAATTAAGACGAGGGAAATAGTCACCTAAATAGTAGTTTTATCGCTTCAAAACTGAAAAAAACACTCGTTTTGTGAAATCTTTTTGGTCCATTAAGTAATGAGTGGAATAGTCTCTGAAAAACCACCCAATCAAGGCAAAAAAACTCCGTCCACTCCGACGGAGCATATTGGGCTAATAAAACACCTCCCCCATACTCTATGCGTTGAATTTCTTCCTTGATAAAGCCTCTATAATAAAAACTTCTCCTCTTCCTGCTTTAACACAAATTTTGACTCGACCAACATAAACAGAAAGATCCACGTAGCCCCTCTACAAAAAGAAACCGACATTACTTTTAAAATAAATGGAGAGGCTGGGAAACCTATTATACGGACGGCTCCGTCAGCCAAGCAAGAGTAGGATCAGGAGTCTACAGCCCCTCCAACCCAAGACATTATTCCGACTCCCAAACTATGCCTCGCTAGCGACAGCGGAATGCTACTCAATCTATCAAGGTCTGGTACACGTGACAGATAGACAAAACATATTCAAAAGAAGCCAATTTTTAATTGTATCAGACTCCCAGGCAGCGTTGCAAAAAATCTGTAACATCAATAATAGTGCCTAAAAGACGCACCAAAAAAGACGCACTCACATTTGAAACTAAAAACATACTACTTAAACTAAAAAAAGAGGAACCAAAGTAGAATTCTGCTGGGACCAGCCACACTGACATACCTGACAACGAGATAGCCGATAACTAATCAAGGACTCGAAACGCTAGCAGAATCTAAAACGCACTGGGAAACTCTACTAAAACTAATAAAACAGGATATACACAATAACTGGAAAAACAAATTTAAGGGCACCCTAACAACATCAGGCAGATTTTTCTCTACTCACACAACAGAGCTCCAAAAAACCTGGATTACAGCCAACCCTCTAGATAGAAGACATATCACTATCTTCCTAAAACTGAGAAGTGGCCAGTCTCACAGTCATACCTCCATAGAATAGGTTTAGCAGCAACCGATGGGACTGTGGCGCAGACGAACAAGACCTACATCATTCTAGAATGTCCACTCCAGGCAGACCACACCAATGTCTTATACAGAAGGTTAAGTAGAATTCCCATTAACCCCATCAATCTACCAGTATCCTAAAGAACCCTACAAACGTCAAAGTAGCAGTGTAGACGTAGATAGACCTAATATAGGGGAGGTTTTTTTTAAACGTCACGTGACAAATCGAATAAAATTGCTTATTTGTTCCATTTTTTTGTCAGATCAACTACAAAAAAAAAATCGGGAAAAAAGTTAGGGGTAGGGGGTTTGATAATTTGTCATATGACTCTTCGGGGGGAGGGGGTCATTACATCGTCACATGACCATTTTTTGCTTCACGAGATTTATGAAATTCATAAAAAAATATATATTTATTAGTTATTTCTCAGTTGTTTATGTACAATTTTATAAAAAATATGTATTTTTAGGTTATTTTTCAGTATTTCAAGTGAAAATTGT